CTGCAAGAACAAAAGCGTGCCTTCCTTGTATGTGAGGGTTGTTCTAAAGGTCCTTGTCTTCGGTTTATACTTGGGCGACCATTTCAGCTAGTTTAATGGACTCGCGAAAGTTTCGCGAAAGAAGACGCGAAAGGATTACATTTTTTCGCTAAAGTTGGCCAAATCCCAGAAAGGGAATTTTGAACAACCGCCATATGTATATAGGGGCAATGGAAAATGGAAACTACTACATTATGATAGGGTATCTTTTGGGGCCAGTAGGGAATATGGGAACATATTATAGAGGGATTAGAAGCCCTTATGCCCTTATAACTACCAGTAAGTTTGGCGACTGGTATGCTTTGGATTTAGGATTTTGGTTTTGACTCCTGTCAGGACACCCGAAAATATTCTTCATCGAAAGGCTGATGTACGGTTTTGAATTTGCTTCAGTGCCTTACCTCGGATTTTTGCTTTAAGGGTGGAGAGGTTATTTTCGCCTCGCCCTAGCGCTATCTAATAGTCAACTCCCCTCCCCAGAAAGTGACCATACCGAGGCTCCAGGCAGTTTGACTGGAGGGTATCTCCCAAAAAATCATAACAAGAAGCATCTGAGCTATAATTCGTCTATACCCCCTAAAGTGGGCTATATGGGGGAGTACTATAAGGGTTATGAAGGTGGATACTAGGAATTTAGACTATAGTTCATATAACATGCTACAAGACCACCATTCATTCATAATTGTAAAGCAACAGCGGAACTATGAAAGTAGAAGTGTTCATTCTTTCATTGTTTGGGCAAAGGTTAGTGAAAGCCGGTGAGCGATTCCAATTGGAGGGAGGAAAAGGATAAAGCCTAACCCCTGAACCCTACGCCCTGAAAACTCCTGAAACTGAGTCAAAATCCTGGCAAGTAGTTTCCATTTTTGTTCCCATTATTTCTGTGAATATCCCTGTCAGTACCCCCTAGTAACTAGTATAGGATGCGTAAGAATAAAGGTAATCATAATGATAGCGGCGCGCTTCAACCCCCTAAAGCCCCAAGGGATAACGATGCGCTACACCCTAAACCCTAAACCCAAAACCGCAGCACCTTGGCCTTGAAGTGCTAAGCGTTTCAAGCCCAACAGACACATCTGCGGAACGCGACGTGGTGAGCTTCAACGCCGTGATCCGTGCATGCGGTGCTGTGGGGGGCTGGACACTGACTGGGGATCTGGGGGTGGGATTTCATGTGTAGGGTTTAGGGTTAAGCCTTCGGGGCCAAGGGCTCCGGATTTTGGGGGTGCTGAGTAAATGACCGAGGGTGTTGAGGCTCCCTTTTTCTGAGGTAGGCTTTGCAGTATACGGGGTACATGGGGATATGAATAGATACGTCGGAATACATAGGAGATAGTGAGTGCTATCGGTATCTATAGGGATGTACAGGGACTCAAACGATGCATATCGTGTCGGGGGCTTTAGATGTCAGGGTCAGGGATGTAAGAACGTGAAAAGACACCTAAACCCCTAAACCCTTAACCCCTATGATATGCGAAATTATGGCATCTTGCCCTCACTGAAACCTAAACCCTCAACTCTGATGAAACCCTGGCAACACCAACGTCATCGCAGATTTGAACATAGGGTGTACATGATTCAGGGAACATAAGTTGCAGGGAGTGGGCTTTAGGTCCTACCTGGACCCTAAAAGTGGGTAAAATAATAGACCAAAATCCCTAAATATGGCCCCAAAGGCCATTATTCTACATACTTTTGGGGTCCAGGACCCAGTCTTTAGGGCTCAACCCGGGCTCATGAATTTCACCCTCAGCCATAAAGCGAGGTTCCCTAAAGCTGGAAAGTGGGAGGATTCACGCCCTCGCACTGCTTCGCAGCATGTCAACATATGCCCTGGTACCAGACGACATAAGTGCCTGGGGCTGAAGAGTTCAAGGGTCCAAAGGGGGTTGCATAAGGGTTATATACTGGAATGATGGAGAATTAAATGGAGAAGCAAATGGGAAACAACATGGAAGCTATTATTTAGGGTTATCGGGGTTCAGGATGTGTGGGCTGAGGGGTTAGGGTACTGGGGGCGTGCTTTGGATTTAGGGTATTGGAGTGGGTCAGGATGTAGGGATTAGGGCTTCTCTATTTCGGGTGGGTTTGGGGGGATACCGGGTTCTATGCGGGGTATCAAGGGTAAATGGACAAGAATATGTAAGCTATTAATTTGTGGTTTAGAGGTTGAGGGCTTTTTGTCCTGGGTTGTCATACAATCTCGATTTAGGGTTTGGGGTCTAGGAGGTTTAAGGGTTTAGGGCTTGGCTTTCAGGGTTTACCCTTATGGTCACCAGCAGTCTCAGGACTAGTAGATTGGACATGAGACCTATTTCCTGGCTCCCACATTTTACATATCACGAAGGGGGGATCCCACTTGGCTCCACCACTAAGGCCCGAGCCCAAACCGAAGCTCCAAACTCCAAAGCTTTGGCTGAGCATAGTGGCATCAAGCCCTAGATTCGAGGCCCGAGGCCCCAAACCCGAAGCCCTAACAAATTACAAAACCCCCAAATTCCCAGGGGTTAATCCCTAAACCCCAACTCTTGAAACCCTAAAAGCTAAACCCGTACACCCAAACCCAACTTTCAGGGCCAAAGCTCCCACCAGTGCCAATGGGCACATTCAACCCTCAGATGAGCTGTAGTCTAGACTCCTTAAAGGGGGTTATATTGGGGATTATACAGGGGACTGGTATAGGGGTTACTAAGGGGGATACTAGGAGTTTAGACCATAGCTCAGATGTATTCGAGATGCTTTGCAGTTTGGGGGCGAGGGGTATGGTTTTAAGTCTAGTAGACATCCACAGAAGCACACCCTAAACCTTAAACCACCAAACGCTAAGAATCCCACAAGGGACCCACAAGTTTGATAAGCCCTGAAACGCCAGGGTTAAGGGACCCCGAAGCATTTCCGAAGACGGCGAAGATTCGGAGAAAAGGCCCGATAGGTTTAGGGCTTATGGTTTCCCTAAGGCTCCATGTAGGACTATTTATAGGGTTTAGGGCCCAATGTAGGCCTTATATAAACTTCGAGCCCCAGGGGTTGGGTGTAGGGCTTCAATGCCCGAAAGCCCCAAATTGAAAAACTTCAAACTCAGAAGTGGCTTGGGCCTTCGTGGAAATTGATTATAAGGGCTTACGGCTTAGGGTTTAGTGTTTAGGGATCGTATTCCCAAATCGTGGAGAATGAAATGGAAAAGAAAAAGGAAAGTGACATGGAAATTTTGATTATGTGAGCTACGATCAAGATTCGCCTTACTAAGGGACCGCTAACGGCAGACAGGAGGGCCTCTCTCGTAGTTTCGCACAGTCCTGAATATAGTCCCTAATAAGGAAGCCTGGGGCCTAACCCTAAACCCTAAATTTGATATTGTCTGTCAAGTATAGCTTCTACAGTATTTATTTCTTCTCGATTCTTTCATCTGCTGCTCGCAGACTGCACGTAAATCCCAAACCCGAAACCCTGCATCTTCATTATGCTAACTTTCCCTGAAAAACCCTACATAATCCTTATATATTTAGGCCCTTTCCTGAAATCGTGATACAGGTCTGTGCAGTGGTTCCTGCTACAATGCACGTCCCTATGTAAAGTTCCCCCCACTTTGGGTACAGTCATGTAGGCCAAGTTTCATATGATCCCTACAACCCCTCTAAAGGAGCAAGTAGGCCCTAAATCCTATATATCCCTTGTAGTAGCTTCTTTTAAAACCCAACATAATCCTTATCTCGCCCCCTAGACCCCATACCCTAAAGTCTCTGAACCTTGAACCCTAAACCCTGAACCCTAAACCCTGAATCCTAAACCCTGAACCCTACATAGTAGTTTCCATTTTCCATTATCCCTATACACCCCTGTATCACCCTTGGAGAAGAGTAAACCTTACATAGCCCCTATATGGGGGGGTTCCCAAAATTAGGGGTACCTTCAAAGGGATTATAGGGATTATCTAGGGGATATATGGGGTTTAGGGTTTGGGGTTTCCCACAATTAGGGATACCTGTTGGGGGGTTCCCTTTATAAGGATTATGGTTTTTTGGGGTTTATATTGGGTCCGCCTATTTTGGGAAAGTACCCTAGAACCCCCACAACCCTACAAAGGAGCAAGTGAAGCTCCGAGGCGTGAACTCGGCCATCACCGCCTGCGAGAAGGCGGCGGAGTGGAAGGTTGCTTTGGAGCTGCTTCTTGGACTCTTTGGGTTTAGGGTTTAGGGGTTACCTGGACCCCAAAAGTATGTAGAATAATGGCCTTTGGGGCCATATTTAGGGATTTTGGTCTATTATTTTACCCACTTTTAAGGTCCAGGTAGGGTCTAGAGTTTTGGGTTTAGGGTTTAGGGTTTAGGTACTGATAATGGAAAAGACAATGGAAGCTACTAAATGGAGAATCAAATGGAAAATGAAATGGAAACTGGTGTTATATAGGGGATTATATAGGGCTTAGGTTGGGTACTGCACCTCTCAGTAACAGTTGGATAATAACTATAATATGGTTATATATGGCCCTTAATAGGACCCCTAATATAGACTGTTACTGGGTGGGGGCAGTACCCAAGGTTTAGGGTTTACGGTCTAGAGTTTAAGGTTTAGGGTTTAGGGGCTAGGGTTTCGGAGCCTGGGTTTAGGGCTTCGGGTCCCTGAGTCCCCCACCACCCATACTACATCTTCCCCTTTTAGTATACTAGCTAAACTTGAGATTTCTTACATGAGGTGCCGGTGGTGGGGGGATTTTGATGTTGCGGGCAGGGGGCTCCAATCCTAAGCCCAAAGAGGTTAGGCTGTAGGGCTCAGAGCGTCTAATCCTAATACTGAGGGTTTAGGGTTGTGTACGGCCTTATGGTTTAGGATTCCGGGGTTCAATCTTGAAACCTAGGGGTTTGGCATGTGGGGGAACCCAAAGGGATGTCAAATGGAAAGTGGCACGCAAGCTGCGGGCATACCACTCGGTCTACGGTTTAGCATTTTGGGGTTCAGGGTTTAGGGCTTAGTGGTTTAGGGTTTATGGGTTTAGGGTGTAGGGGTGCCGGGGTGCCGGGTTTGGGCTCTTGAAGCGTATACGCTTACCTATCCAGTGAGTAGCCTTCAACCGTTAGCTAACATGCGGCCCAATATATCCAAAAGGTAAGCCTTGAAAATTCCTATATACTGGTCAACCGAGGATCATAATCAGAAGCGTTAACGATTCGGGCTGAGCTTAGAGAAGTGGAGGGTTCAGTGTTCAGGGCAAGGGCATGCAATCTGTTGGGATGGGGGTAAAACCCCTAAAATCCTTAACCAACATCATATAAACCCAATAATCTACATTATTATAATATAGTTGTTTCCATTTTCTTTTCCATTATCCCTATATAAACCCAAATCTTGGGGGAGTTACGGGGGAGACAGATGGAGCCTGGCTCATACGGTGCGCGCTTGAAGGTCCAGGGTTCGGAGACCGGAAGTGGTTCGTTTGAGGCCTTAATCCTTGTTCTTCCACCCTGAACCCTGCATGGGGATCTCCTATATAGTCTTCAGACTTCCTTACACTTTAGGATTTGGGGTTTAGGATTTAGAGTATTCTTGGAGGTTTCCCAAAATCAGGTCTTTTTGGGGATCCCTCTCATGATGTATACAGTATATTGGGGGTCATGTAAGGGTACCCTAATTTGAGCGAGCTGCCGCTCGTGGTCCCAAGTATAGAAGAGGTGCTCCCGTCACAAGTAGGGTCGCAAGAAACCTTCCTTCGTCGGTCTAGACCGCTCTCGTTGCTCTTCCTTTCAAGACTCAATGGCCGTTGCATCTAAGAGCATTGAAAACATCTCAACATGAGGGAAGGGTAGGCATTGTTCTTCAGACGTCACGTTGGGGTTGTAGGATCCGGGGCTCGATACCCTAAACCTGAAGCCCTTGCCCTAGCCGAACTTAAGCGCTTGGCCCTACACCCTGATGTTGTCTCTTGAGCAAAGCCTAGCGTACGATCAGCAGATGGATTGCAATGTAGATGGATGTGTGGATGGTAGAACATCAAGGGCAGAGTACGACCTAGGCTAGGGCTAATCCTTTTGGCTGGAATTAGCTGCACCATGTCCGGATACATCTAATACCCAATACTGGGGCTGTTGGTGCCCCAAAGCCTCCTAAACCCTAAGCCCTAAACCGCCGCGTACTTGCGCCCGGAGAGTCTGGTGCCATCTATGGCCATGTATCCTTAACACGCCCTGCATGAGAACCCTAAGCCCTAGCCCTGAAGAACCGAAAGCCCTGCCAACCTATACCCTACCCAAGACCAACCTTAAATCCTCAGCACTAAAAAAAAGGGTTCAGGGTCTAGGGCTTACCGACCCCAAACCCTAAAAGTCTTGTACCGCAAGCCCTAAATCCCTCACGCGAAACGCAACATACCAGATCTTGAGTCCCAAGCCCTTAGGTGGAGGGTTTCCCAAATTTCGGGGTCCACTTTTTGGGACGGGGGTCCCCATAAGGAGGGCTAGGTATTTTTGGGTCTGTGTTGGGGTTCCCCCCCCCTTTTTATGGAAACTACCATATAGCCCTGAATCCCAAACCCGAAGCCTTAAACTCTGACACCAATGTTGCTTCTGGAACCTAGGCTACACCTAGCTGAGACGCGAGACACGAACCTTGGCGCCATTTCTTGGCTATCCCAAGTTGATCAAGGCATTGACAGATTCCAGAGTCTATAAGCTTCTTAGAGTTCAGGGCTTTTAATAGGTTTATAGAGCTTATAGATTGTATCGGGTTCGGGAAATATGCGCAGCCAAGGCGTGATAGTAAGTAGCCTTAAGTAGCTACACAAGAAAGAGAGGGCAGCGTTTGAATGTGGTTGGTTGAAACATGATGCCCTAGGAATCCAAGTACGCAAATAATACGTACATTGGGCTTGGAAGTCTGTAAATGTTAGCTACTTTTGGGCCATTTGGGCCCTTGTTTCTTAAATCTACGCCAAGAGAATTCTGGGTAGGGATGTCTACATATGCATATCGTTGCCTGGGAATATACACAGGGAAGTTTCTCGACATACGCTAAACCCAAATTTTGCGGAAGCCCCAAACCCTTAATCCCTAAACTCTTGAACCCTCAATCCCTAAATCCCTAAACCCTGAATCCCTAAACCCTGACCGGCCCCTAAAGGCTGTGGCTCCTGGGGAATCCATACTGGCGTCTTAGTCATCCCTGCTGCCCACATGAGAAGTATTTTATTTGGGGATACTTTGGTACCCATTGTGGAGTAAGATTCTATCCTCCTTTTGGTGTATATATTCTTATATAAGGAATATAATCTTACTGGGTTTAACCACCAAAACACACTACTCACATGTAACTACTGCTTACATCAATCCTTGCATTCTCCCTCAAAAAGACTTCGATGGTGTCCCATTCAGGGAACTTCCCAACCCGTCCTAAACCTTGTCTGTCTCTCTCTCTCTCTCTCTCTCCTTATGACCCTTATACAAACCCTATATAACCTCTAAAACCCCTACAGTTTCCATTTTCTTTTCCACTATCCCCATAGAACCCCCAAGATAATGCCATGGTCCTCTTGCCCTATGACCCGCTGGAATGGACCCTAAACCCTAAACCTTAA